CACACACAAACACACACATATACACACACAAACACACACACACACACACACACACACACACACACACATACAAACAGAAACAAAAACAACTCGCAGGAACACCTATCATTATCACACCCTCTCATTTGTTTTGTTTTAGTAGAGTTTTTACGGCGCTCGCAACTGTGCAAGGTTATATGAGTGCCAGAAGATTAGAGGTGTTACAAGAGAGTAACAGACATAAAAAAGAAGGAGGGGAGATAACGCCGATAGATGTTTTATAGGAAAGAAGCAGCAAACCACACCAGAGCACCCGCCTATCACCCACATCCTCTAAATAAAACACCCAAAAAAAACCACCCACATCCTCTCTTTAAGGGGGGGGGGCTACACCTGAAGACTGTCTCGCTTATTACTGGACCAAATTTTACCAAATTTCACACATATAACAAGCATAGTATGGAGTCTTAAATTCCGCAATCAAATTTGAGATAAAAGTTTCGTTTCCACGGACGCGGCGGCCATATTGGATTTTGCTGACATTTCTTACGTAATGAATACCGCACTTATTGCTCCTGGAAATTGATTGGGTTTTTTTGCATGCGTGTTAACAAACATTAGATCTAAAAATTTATCTGGGTTTTTTTTCCTAAACGATTTAGAAAAAATTTTATGAATTTTTTCATGAGGTAGCATTCAAGTTCTCAAAAAATCTGTGAAAGTCCACACTCCAGGCACCACCAACAAAAATCTATTACATATATCAAAAATTCAACAGACAAATCATAGTATTACATTTTCTCTTCATTCTGTGAAAATTTCGTGAAGATTAGACGAAAAATGGTGGAGTTATTCAAAAAAGTATAGAGGAAAGTCGCGTTTTGAGAAAACGGCGATAAAGAAAAATAAAATATTGACTTTATTTATGAGGAAATGGCAGTAACAAACATGCCAGGTATGAAAAAAATATGATTTTGGGGGGTTCTTAAGCGATGAAATAGTTGTAGGAGAGTCTGGGGAAGCTAAAAATGCCTACAACTCAAATTCCCTAATTTTGAGCCGATTCTTGACTTTGGTGGTGTAG